GAATACATCCTACCCAAAATAGTGATGCAAACATAAAAAAATTTATTGCGGCTTTTTGCGGTGCAAATCCCTCTCCAAATCACAGCCTATGCAGCAATGCAGCACCTGCACCTGCAGCACACGAATGATATCTAGTCGTTATTTAAATTTCTGACAAACTTGATGTGTACCTGCATATTATATGTGTATCTGGTATTGTATTCTGGTGTGACAKTAGGTATACTGCTGTAAGTCACCACGGTCGATGRAATAAAAACAAATTTATTACCTACTGATACAGTCGATTTAAACTTATTAGTCATATTATTATGTATACCGATGTTGGAATTAGTACGAAAGTCCSAAACAAAAAAAGCTGGGAAAAACTTCAGACGCTCGTTAGTAAGATCGTAGCAACAGTCACTTCATCGTTCATCATACCTGTGACAATCCCACGGGAACTCTTCTCGCGGCCCAGGTCAGACCTATTATAGAATTCTCTCACTAGCTCTCACTCTCTGCCTCTTTCTCCATCACTCCCTCTCTCACACGATCTCTATCACTCTCTCCTACACACTCTCTCTCACACACACATACACATAAATATTTGTCTTTCTCTCTCGTTGAGCTCGTCCAGGGCGCATTCGTACTTAATCACGCGCGTATCGTCGTGGCATTCGGAATGTACGGTTTTTTTCCATTTCAAACTTGTTTTTCGTGTCAGCACATTTTTTTTACAATCGATCAATGTTGTAAACAAGTCGGTAACCTATTGACACTAATGTGTATGCACACACGCGCACACGCGAGCGCCCGGCTTGCAGTGCGACTGGGAAACGCGGAGATTTTTTTTCTAGACGAGTGGTTGCGTTTAGTAAAATTGAATTTTTTTTCCTCTATATATTATAACGAAGGTGTACTGATTTTTTACGACAAAACATTTAAAAATAAATGAAAATCACCATCCTATACGTAAYAAGTAATTTCCAGTTTGTATATTACGGAATATCGTGTCGTTAATCATCGTGTAAACATGTTGCCGTTGACGCGAAGAGCACGTGGATCAAATCGATAAGGCGTTTGGATTAGGTACATGTTTATTTTATATGCGTGCAGGTCCCATTATTATTTTAAGTATTTCGTAACAAATGTCTTCCGAGTGCTCACGTCGAAAACGCACAAATAAATCGACGACGAGGAGTAATAGTGATATCTTATCCCATTGTACTATTGTTTTATCCGATCCGCCTCGTCCATAAATATTTCTCTGCGACAATAATAAACTGCACGTTTTTGTTTGGTTTGGTYAATAAAATGTTTAATGCTCTTAATAAGTCTCGATGTCACTTATATAGAGATTAATCACGAACGAGAACGACGAATAATTGTTGAATATTTTCATAGGTATGTAAATATTGAGTTGGTCAATCATGACTGTTAGTGTCTCTACGGTGCAGCAGTAATGAGTTATGTCATTATTATTTATTGCCATCACCATTTCACTTTTAATTGCTCTTCATTTAAATAATTAATTAAACCGTGTATTACTAGATGTCTAGATGTATACTTAAAACTTAACTATAAAAGATACTTTTAAAATTTAATTAATAAAAATGATAAGTTGYTATGGAAAAATAATAAAAAAAATTTTCAAATACAGATAATAGAATAGTTGTATATAAAAACTAAGTGGCTTGGCGTGGTTGCTGCAATCATTCTCATAACGTGATTGTCGAGTGTACGCWCCGSTCGCTGCCACTAGTTTCCGAATAGGCCACATATACACGTGTTCCAAGCTAACCGTATCCTCCCTCACAGTAAAGAAAAAACCTACTAAAATAATCATCAAATAACCTATATTACAATAGCTACAACTAGAATAAAAATAAAATTAAGTTGTTGGCTATGAATTAAATAACGTGGTTGACAGGACTATGTATTATGTAATGCAGTATTGAGTATAATAATTATATTTATCTTATACTGCATACCATGGTATCCTTAGGTATTTATAATGCATATAACTGCTGTACTATATAGTATACATTTTACATAGTAAAATTAGGTACGTAATACCTAATTATTAATACAACACGATTATAAATGCGAAAATGTAAATCTTTCTGTGGTCTGTCTATTATGTTYTCAATGCAAAACTATTGAACCGATTTTTATGTTATTTGGTGTGGTGATAGCTTGAACCCTGATAAATTACAAAAACAACTTTAAAAAAAATCAACTGCATGAATGGAAAATTGAAATTTGTAATGAATGTTGATTTTGTACAGTATGCATCGTTTAAGAAGGGTTTTTTTTAAAGAATTTAACCCCTAAGAGTATTGAAGAGAACGGGCAGATTTATATAGAAAATAGTTAATTTATTTTAAATTTAAAACTTGCTATTAATCTTTTTCAAATCAAAATGAAACATGTTTTTCTACGTTTAYCAAAATTCAAGCCCTTGAGGGCAGTGGCGTAATTAGGAATTTGGTTTTTGGGGAGGGGGTATTATATGTTTAGGTTAGAAGCTAAACTATAAGCCTCGTATAGTAACATACCCCATCAAATATAAAATGTTAGAAGTAAAATCAAAGTTTAAGGGGGGAATTATCCCCCTMATCCCCTCTTAATTACGCCCCTGCTTAGGGGGTGGTAATAGAGTTTWAGTTTTTAATAGTAATTTTGGCTATGAATATTCATTACAATTTTTTATAAATTAAAATGGGCATTAATAAGTTAAGTAAACGAAGTTGTTTTTTATAATTTTACATAAGTCCTGTTAATTATTGAGTAATAATATAATGGCTTGGGATATATTTTTTT